CTGCACTCCAGTCTGGGCGACAGAGTGAGACTCCAACTCAAAAAAAAAAAAAAAGAAAAAAAGAAAAACAACCCTAAAATTCATATGAAACCAAAAAAGAATCAGAATAGCCAAAGCAATCCTAAGCAAAAAGAACAAAGTTGGAGGCATCGCATTACCTAACTTCAAATTATACTGCATGGCTGTGGTAACCAAAACAGCATGGCACAAGAACAAACACATGGATCAATGGCACAGAATAAAGAATCCAGAAGTAAACTCAACTTATCTTTGACAAAGCGGACAGAAATATACACTGGGGAAAGGACACTCTGTTCAACAAATGGTGCTGGGAAAATTGGATAGCTACATGCAGAAAAATGAAACCTGATCCCTATCTCTCCCCATATACAAAAATTAACTCAAGATGGATTAAAGACTTAAATGTCAGACCCAGAAACCATAAAAATCCTGGAAGAAAACCTAGGAAAAACTCTTCTGGATATTGGCCTAGGCATAGAATTTATGGCTGAAACGCCAAAAGCAAATACAAAAAAACAAAAATAAGTAAGTAGGACTTAAACTAAAAAGCTTCTGCACAGCAAAAGAAATAATCAACAGAGCAATAGGCAATCTACAGAATGGGAGAAGATGTTCACAAACTAGACATCTGACAAAGGACTAATATCTAGAATCTGCAAAGAACTCAAGCAAATCAGCAAGAAACAAGCAAATAACCCCATTAAAAGGTGGGCATTGCCTGAACCCGCAGGTGCAAGACCAGCCCAGGCAACTTGGCAAGACCATTCTCTAAAAAAAAAAAAAAAGTGGCCAAAGACATGAACGGACATCTCTCAAAAGATACACGGATGACCAACAAACATGACAAAATATTCAACATCACTCCTCAGCAGGGAAATGTAAATTTAAATCACCGTGAGATGCCACCTTATGCCAGTCAGAATGGTCATTAATTAAAATTCAAAACAGTAGGCGCTGGGGCAGATGCAGAGAAAAGGGAAAATTTATATGGGAATGCTGGTCAGGGTATACATCAGTACCTCTGTGGGAAGTGGTATGGAGACGACTCGAACGACTAAGAGTAGATCCACCGTTTGACCTAGCAATCCCACTACGAGGTATTTACTCAAAGCAACAGAGGTCATTACATAAAAAAGACACCTGAAGCTCCGTGTTCATCAAGTCACAACTCACAACGGGAAAGATGTGGAATCAACCTAAATGCCCATCAGCTGATTAGTGGATAACGAAAATGTGGTATGTACACATTACAGAGGACTAGTCAGTGATCAAAAGGAAGGAAACAATGTCTTTTGCAGCAACTGGGATGGAACTGGAGAACACCATCCTAAGCAAACTAACTCAGGAAAAGAAAACCAAACACCCCATGTTATCACTAAGAGAGCTAAACTAAGGATATGCAGAGATATAGAGAATGGTATAATGGACACTGGAGCCTCAGAAGGGGGAGGGGTCAAGGCAGAGAGGGACAAAAAAATCACCCATCGGGTACAATGTGCACAGGTAGTGGTGGCGGGTACATTTACAGCTCAGACCAAAACTCCTTGCACCCCTCAAAGCTATTGAAATTTAAAAAAAATTTTTTTTTTTTTTGAGTTGGAGTCTCACTCTGTCGCCCAGGCTGGAGGGCAGAGGCACGCTCCTGGCCAACGTAGCCTCGACCGGCTGGGCTCCAGCAATCCTTCCACCTCAGCCTTCCAAGCAGCTGGAACTACAGGCGCACACTACCATGCCTGGCTAATTTTTTGATTTATTGTAGAGATGAGGTCTCCCCAAGTTGCCCAGGCAGGTCTCGAACCCGCGGGCTCAGGCAATCCACTCACCTCAGCCTCCTAAAGGCGCAGGATTACAGACTGAGCCACCGAGCCCAGCTTAAAAAAATTTTTTTAAAAGAACAAAGCCAGCCAGGCTCGGTAGCTCAGCCTGTCATCCCAGCACTTTGGAAGGCCAAGGCGAATGGATTGCCTGAGCCCACGGGTTCAAGACCAGTCCAGGCAACTTGGCAAGGCCTCATCTCTATAATAAATCAAAAATTACCTGGGTGTGGTAGTATGCACCTGTAGTTCCGGCTACCTGGAAGGCTGAGGTAGAAGGATCGCCAGAGCCCAGCAGGTCAAGGCTGCAGTGGCCGTGAGCATGCCACTGCGCTCCAGCCTGGGCAACAGAGTGAGACTCTGACTCAAAAAAAAACCAGAAAAAGAACACAGCCAGTCACAATACACTATACACTCATATGCATAGCTGTATGGATCGTATGATTCTATTCACACGAAATGTAAAATAGAGGCAAATGCAAAGAACAGAAAGTGCTTGGTGGTTGTCGGGAGCTACAGAGAGGAAAGGATATGGGCAGTGACTGCGCATGGGTCAGAGGCCTTTCTGTGGTGATGAAAATGTTCTCCAACTAGACAGTGGTGATGGTGACACAACTCTGGGAGTACACCAAAAAGGACTGAATTGTATACTATAAACAGTTGAATGTCATGTTACATCAATCTCGATAAAAGTAAACATCCGTGTTTTTGTGACTTGAGGCAGGAAACAGAACACAGTAGTCAAGAGAAGGGACTGGCAAATGTCAGTCCCGGGCCAAGTCTGGTTTCCTGCCCATTCTTACAAATTAAGTTTTATTAGAACACAGCCATGCCTATTCACGTATGTACCACCTGTGGCTGTTTTAAGCACAACATGGCAGAGCTGAGTACTTGCAACAGTAAAGCCTAAAATATTTACTCTACAGCCTTCATAGAAGTTTGCCAAGCCCTGGATGGGAGGGTCAATTCCAGCCAGGCTGGGACTCAGATTCTGGCTCGTCACATGTCAACTACATGCCTTTTCTGTGTGTGTGGGCACATGTGAATGTGAGCGTGTTCACTCTCTGTGCACGTTGTCCCATCGCCATCACGTGAAGTGAGTCAGGGCACTTGGGATACTCAGAAGGATGTCCAGCCACAGTGTGGACTGAAACTTTGGTCTTCTTGTTCTCAGGAAGAGCCAGTGAAGCCCTGGAGTCTGACGGATGGGCCTCATCAGCTCCCACAAGAGCCCCTCCTCCACCTCCTCCTGCCTGGGGACAAAGGGCAAAGCCCATGCCGGCACGCAGGACCCTCTCCACCCCGCATCCTGCCCCCTCCACCCTCAGCCTCCTCAAGCACGAAACGGCCTTCCCTGCTGGGAAAGCTCCTCCATTCTCAAGGCTCAACTCCAAAATCATCTCCTCGGACAAACACTTCCTGACCCTCCTCCTCTGTACCCCACTGCCAGCCTTCCCCGAGGCTGGCTCCCCTGCAGCTCTGCGGTCTCTCTAGCTTGAGTTACAAACAGCATCTATTTATGTGCGTGTGAGCGTTCATTTCCACGTGAGTCTTCTCCACCATCTGAAGTGGGGGCAGCGGCCAGGCCCTTTCCTCCCCTGCAGCATCACCGGTGCCCAGACAATGCCCAGTCTGTAGAAAGTGCTCAGAAACACACCCACCTGCTTACTGGGCATCCACGCAGTGGTGAGCACTCTACATGTCTCTCATCAAATCTTTACGTCCAGCCGGGCTCGGTGGCTCAGCCTATAATCCCGCGCCTTTGGGAGGCTGAGGTGAGTGGATTGCCTGAGCCCGCGGGTTAGAGACCCACCTGGGCAGCGAGACCTCATCTCTACAATAAACCAAAAAATCAGCTGGGTGGTAGCGCATGCCTGTAATTCCAGCTACTTGGAAGGCTGAGGCGGAAGGATCGCCGGAAGACAGCAGGTCGAGGCTGCAGTGGCCGGGAGAGGCCACTGCACTCCAGTCTGGGCGACAGAGTGAGACTCCAACTCAAAAAAAAAAAAAAATCTTTACATCCTTACAGGCCCCCCGGTAAGCATCACCATCTCAGGCTCACAGGTCAGAAAGCAAGAGCAGAGAAGTTAAGGAGCTCATCTGACAAATTAATAAATGCAGGGAAGAAAGGGTCTGGTGGATGCTTGAAACAGTGGCTTGGACCCCCGGGGACTTTTGACCATGCCTGGGGACATTTCTCCCTGCCACAGCTCGGGGTGTATACTACTGACACCTAGGAGGTAGAGGCCAGGGATGCTGCTAACATCCTAAAACGCACTGATCAGCCCCCACCACAAGGAATTATCTGACCCCAACTGTCTAGGCTAAAAAACCCTGACACGGAGGGCAAAAAAAGGGAGGGAGCTAGAGTAGTCAGAAAAGGTTTCAGAGACAAGGTGAGACTTGGTTTGGACTTGGAGTTTGGGAAGATCACCTGGATGACGTCTTTTGCCTGACTTTTAATCTCTTCAACAAGAATACCACCCTGCCAAGTTCTCCGTACTTTCTTTGAGACATTGCCTAGAAAAATTCCAGCACAGTATAAGCCATTATTGGACTCTGGCGAGAGGAGGATGTGAGGACGGTACCCAGGGCCAGTGCACAGAAGTGCCCTGGTCTACACATGAGCTCTGAGGTCTGGACCAGAAAACCAAAACCGGCCCCAAGAGCCCGAGCAGGGAGCGTGTGCCCAGTCAGCCTCCCAGCGTCCCATCGCTGTTCACAATGCTGCTCCCTTTAGACTCTTTGCCAAAGGCCAGCTCCATGCAGGAAGCCTGCTGCAGGGCCCTAAGTGTGAGCAGTGGTGGTGGTTCTGCCACTGTGGACCACCTGAGAGGTAGGTTCTGCCTCTTCAAAATCTTGAGCACCAAGTTCACCTCCCTGAGGGGAGGAGCCCTCAGTGATGCAGAGCAGGGCTGGAAACGGGAGGGGGAGGGATGGAGAGAGATCACGGCCACGGCAGGGTGACAACATAGCAGCAGCTGCAGAGGACAGACAGGAGGGGATGTCCTCACCTTCAGAGTCCAGAGCCTGGATCTTCAGCTCCAGGGGCGAATCTTCCAGGTAGAGCTCGCGGGTGGTGGAGACAATCTGAATGCCGTGGATGAGGTCGACAATGGCGTCACAGCGCAGGACCTGGCCTGTGGCTGGAGGGACAGGAAGGGTCAGCCCTGAAGACGGTGCCCTGGCCACCCTACCTCATCAGCCTTGCAGTCCAGAGGCCTCACACTTGGGCAAAGACTCCAGCAACCACCAAATTCACCCTCAGAAGCCAAGCAGCTGCCTAGTCACAGCCAAACTGAAAACTCATACAGACTTCAAGAAGGGCGCTGAGGCGGAAGAATCGCCTGAGCCCAGCGAGTTGACTCTGGGGTGGCCGTGAGTGTGCTATTGCACTCCAGCCTGGGTGACAGAGTGAGACTCCAACTAAAAAAAAAAAAAAAAATTAGTTATGTTCAGGGTACAGTCATTAAATAAAATGACAAGCACTGCAGTATGATGAGTTTGCATCCCAAAGAAGATAATGCTGCCCTGAAGTCTGGTCTCTACACTGAGATTAGGAACTACACTGGGGTATTTTGTTTGTTTTGTACGTTTGCTGGTGTTTTTTATATGACTATCAACGATACTAGATGAGGGGTGTGTGAATACACACAAACTTGTTTTACTTTCTCCATAAATAAGAGACATAAATGGCATTACCTGGGGAATTCTGAAGTGTAAGGATAACAGTATGTGATACAAAATTATTCTGATCATTATCCAGGCACCATATAAAAATACTTGTAGGCTGGGCTCAGTGGCTCAGCCTGTCATCCCAGCACTTTGGGAGGCCGAGGCAAGTGAACTGCCTGAGCCCGCAGGTTCAAGACCAGCCCGGGCAACTTGGTGAGACCTCGTCTCTACTATAAATCAAAAAATTGGCCGGGTGAGGTAGCACATGCCTGTAGTTCTGACTACTTGGAAGGCTGAGGTGGAAGGATCGCTGGAGCCCAGCAGGTCGAAGCTGGGGTGGCTGAGTGTGCCACGGCAGTCCAGCCCGGACGACAGAGTGAGACTCCAACTCAAAAAAAAACAAAACAAAATTTATATGCTGTGACCCAGTAAGACTCACAATCTGTCCTAAGAAGAAAAAGCCTAAAAGAACGCCTAGTTGTTTTCTACATAGAAATATTTATTTTTACGTATAAAACACTGGAACAAACATCTGAAAACATTCTAAATGCCCAATACAAGAGAATGCTTTTAGGACAGCCTTCTGTTAATATCATTCGGCACTGAAAATAATTCTGTGGTAAAGTGGGTAACATCCTATCATGGTAGGTAGGGGAAAGCCATGATAGAAAATTATTTTTTAGCCTGGGCAACATAGCGCGAGCCCATCTCTACACAAGCAATCAAAAAGTAGCTGGGCGTGGTGGTATGTGCCAGCTACTCGGGAGGCTGAGGTGGGAGGATCACCTGGGCCCTGGGCCCAGGAGGTCAAGGCTGCAGGGAGCCATGATCACACCACTGTTCTCCAGCCTGGGTGGCAGAATGAGACCCTGACTCAAAAAAAAAAAAAAAAAAAAATAGGCCAGGCTCAGTGGCTCAGCCTGTCATCCCAGCACTTTGGAAGGCCAAGGCAAGTGGATTGCCTGAGTCCATGGGCTCGAGACCAGCCTGGGGAACCTGGCGAGACCTCGTCTCTAAAATAATAAAATAAAAAATAGCCGGGCGTGGTAGTGTGCATCTGTAGTTCTGGCTACTCAAAAGAATGAGGCAGAAGGATCGCCGGAGCTCAGCAGGTCGATGCTTGGGTGGCTGTGAGCATGCATGCCACTGCACTCCAGCCTGGGCGAAGGAGATGTCAACTCCAAAAAAAAAAAAAAAAAAAAAAAAGGGGGGAAAATTATATTGTTTTCTAAGCACTTCACAAGCAGAATATGGTAAATCTGATAGGGGAAAGAAAAAGAAGTGATTTTGTAGTTGGGACAAGGGTTTTTGTTTTGGGAGGCTGAGGTGAGTGGACTGCCTGAGCCCGCGGGTTCGAGACCCACCTGGGCAGCAAGACCTCATCTCTACAATAAAAATCAAAAAATCAGC